ATANATANAAATAATATATATATATATATATATATATATATATATATATATATATATATATATATATATATATATGATATATATATATATATATATATATAATGTATGTATAAGTCCAGTCCCGCGTATATGCTTCCGAATTAGTTGCACGAGTCAAAATCAAACCCGATCAAGTACTTCCGATCATAAATATTGCCACGGTCGTCTTGCGTGAGATATAGTGTGTTTGCTTCCCGTACGCTCTAGTTGCAGCCATATGCTGCTTCATGTCAAGTGGTTTTACCTTACTACGTGCATTCGTTGTTTATTCCGCCATTGTACATGGTTTGTGAACGTGTAGAAATTTCCGTCACATTCGTACATGGAAAGTGTCACGAAATCAGAGGGTGCTAGGAAGGCTAATGCGCTTTCGAATAACGCCAGATCGGTGAAGCAATGAGAAAAGTGTGCCCACTACGGCTGTTATTTCGTACACACGCATCTGCAGAAATACAGCTACCTCCTGATGACTTCCCGAGAAAGCTCACGCGAATGTTCGAAACAACTGAGTGATGCACTACCGCGTGAATACGAACTAAAATACAAAGGGTACCAGCTGAGACCTAAATAGTTGCGTCTGGCCTATGCATAGGAATGCATATAGAGGCATACACAACGGAACGTGTATACAGAGGGATATCTCTGCACTAAGTACGTTCGTGTCACCTGAGAATAGTGGCTGACATCCGTCTCACTCGCGGATACCTGGCCAAGAATAAGGAATGATTTTGTTCACACTTACCCTTGCATGTCGCGCTATCAGAGCGCACTAGAGGCCTGGCTGTACAATCTCTCCGCAATTCAGTTTATTGAGCTTTTGTTCTAGCTCTATTGCGACTTTGGCCTGAATGCACCCGTGCGTGCAGGTGCATGGTTATGTGTGACCTTCTGAGTATCAGAGACTTGGTCGGTCACTTCGTCACATGTGTTTTGCTGTATGGGTCACGCGTGTACTTTAAGCGGTACATCGAAGTAGGCACGACAGAGCTTAGTGCCCCAAGCATCCAGAAATAATCTGGGCTGGCGTAGTAATGCAAACCATGTGCATAGTTAGAAACATGTATGGCGCTTTACAACCATGCGAAGCTCAATTGAGATACAAATGTGGATAGTCAGATGAGTTTACCCGTTCCAGGCATTCAAAAATTAGATACTCTTTTTAGAAAAAAATAACGTAGTAGCAGTATCAGATCAAATTTATTTGGATATGAAAAGAGGAACTCATGACTGGCAAAATAAATACAATCCCGATTAAAGATCCTGAAGTATATAGTTGAATTGCTCGAAAGTAAGAGACGGTACAGCTTGTCGGAATCATCTATAGATGTACTTCCTTGTTGCGAAAGGACGCGAACAGCAGGCCACCAGCAGTTCTCCCTAGGTTCTCGAATCTCGAGTGCTATTCAGTCCTCGACTCCTCGTTCCGCTATTCTTCATTTTATTGCATACTTTGTTTACTCGGCAGTTGTGAGATGGCGCTGCTGACTGTTGTGTAGTGAGTCGCGACTCGTGAGACGACGAGAGTACATAATAAACGCATGCATATCTAATTTATTTAAAAAAAAGTATCTAAAAAAATTTCTCTAAATAAAGTATTTTTTTAAATAAAAATAATAATATGAGAGAACGTACCATCGAGAGAATATTTCTATGTACAAGAAAAGAAGAGTAGAGGAGCGGTGAGATTTCTTGGTCTTAACGTATTTCTAAAAACGTACCACAGTTTACGATAATACATGAAAATATATAGCGTATTCACTGTTTCAGTACTATTCTCTGGCAGCGAGACCTAATATGTATACGTACCTATTTTGAAAACGTACAAACGTAGTACGTTTAAGTTAACGAATTGATTAAAGTCATGGACGCTCTCACAGTCTCACTCAGAGTCAAGGCCCCAGCCCCAGGGCCCAGGCCCAGCGGCTGCCTTAGAGGCTGCCTTAGAGCCTTAGACTTTAAAGTCTTAGTCTCTTTAAAAAAGGGACTTAAACTCAGCAATGTCAGTGAGCACAGGGGTTCTGCTCTTTATTAGGGGTTTGTTCTAAAAAAAGGCAAAAACGAAAAGAAAATGCTTCGATTTTGTTTGTTTTGTTTTACAAAAAAACAACAACAAATGTACTGCATGTATTTTTAAACTGTAGTAAAGTAAATAGTTGTCGTGACTCGAGGGCAGAGAGGGCGTGAGTTCGCCAGCCGTGGGTCAAAAATCAAAATATTTTCTAAAAAAATCAAAAACGTAAATAGTGACGACTTAGTGAACTCACTGACGAGAGTTTCAGAGCACATAGGCGGGTCTGCAAGCCACGGAATTGTCAATTGGGCCATTTTATATATACAAAGTTTTATCAGAATCTGACTCATTAATTAAACATTTGATTGGTCACTAGGCTGCTTTACCAGGATTTTTGTAATTTTGTCATAAGAATTTAATTTATTTTAACCTATGTCCCACGGTTTTGCCTAATAAAGATAAAAATTTAATTTATCAGCTGATTTACAAGACATTCGTCATTATAGTGGATTCAAATTTCAAACCGTTCGTTCATTTTGTCGATTTTCGGTTCCTGAGCCCTGGTTTGGTATTCGCACAATCTATCAAGCCAGATTGTATATATGTTAGATACACAGCCACATCACAGTCCAATATTTACAAACAAAAAGCGGCATACCTATTAGCCTTACACACAGTATAATTCGACAATATGTCTGACAAGCCTAGCCGAGAGACTACCCTCGATGCCAAGGTTGTTAAAACACTTGTAGAGAGAGCGCAGGAAGCGCGAAATGTATCATACTCCCCTTACAGCCACTTCCGGGTGGGCGCCTGTCTATTAGCGAAAAATGGCAAGTATTATTCCGGGGCAAACGTTGAGAATGTCTCGTACGGTCTGACTATCTGTGCCGAGAGAACTTGCCTGGTGAAGATGGTGACTGACGGCTGCCTGAAGGCAAAAGCTATTGCTGTTGCTAGGTACGTTGATCACGTTACAAAATGAAAAGTGTTCATATAAATCTGGTCGTATGTGCTGGAATGAGTATGTTCGTTTATCAATCATAACGGTATTTGCGACTGTTAGTGCTACGTCAAACCTACGTGTTCTTCGCATATTTTAAGTACTTGGCGCTATTGTTCATATTGTTTTCAACTCAATCACCCCGCAGTGATGTCGAAGACTTCATCTCACCGTGTGGAATGTGCAGACAGAGTTTAGCCGAGTTTTGTGACCCAGACGTCGAAGTGCTTATGACGCGCGGGGACGGCTCATTTGTCTGCATCACGGTTAGCGATCTGGTTCCACTTCTATTCACACCCTCAGCCTTAGAAGATGGAACTCGAGCGTAGAACTATAAGTAAAGTAACGATAAATTTTGATTTGATATGGGGGGCATTCGCTTTCCCACAAAGAAGAAAGGAGCTCAATATCCACATTTCGTGTATAGATAGGAGGTAAGGTTGAGTGTATCCGTACGTGAAAAGACATACAAGGAACTTCATAGACCTGTTGTTTAATTAAGAGAGTCTCTTACAGCAACATAAGCAAGACAAAGTTATATCTAACAATCAGGTGGGTCACTAACTTAATTCAATTTCCGCCCCAAATTTTAACTTTCGAGGATATATTAAGAACCACTTAATTGCAAAATGGAAACACGACGACACACACGCACACACACACACACGCACACACACACACACACACACACACACACACACACACACACACGACA